GCACATGCAGTTTCGTTCTGAGCAGCAGCAATGTGACGTGCAGCGAGCCGCACGAGTGCAGGATAGGCCTGTCAGTGTGCAATGGCACCACCAGCACTTGTCCTGTCACACCACCGAAATCAGACGGCACAGTCTGCAACAAAGGCCGTGCCTCTTGCAAGGATGGGGTGAGTGCCATTCACAGTTTCTTGGTACAAGAAAGTTTTTGTCATACATGTTAGCGCTAACTCCAATCTAAAGAGTGGTACAGTAGTGACTTCGGCAACAATTTTATGGGATGGATGGCAGTCGTGAGTCAGTCAAGTGTCGAGTCACGTCGGCAGAAACGTGCGAGCTCCAGTGTGGAGAGCAACCAACTTTCTTTAGAACTCCAATCTGACTAGTTTACGAACTCTCTCCAGAAAAAATCCATAATTTTGGTGCAGTTTCTTGTAGGAGCGAAACTGTGAATGGACGAGTTTGAGAGAGTTTTCCAGCCACATGTTATAATGTACAGTGTACCTTGAGTGACCCGTTCTTCTCCAATGGCTCCATGTCCAGGGCTTGAAAGTGATTGCGTCAGAAGTCAACAAATAATGACTTCTGGGTCAAATCAGATCCACTCTGACCATGGCAAAGTTCAGTATCCGATGTGTAAGCGCAAAAAAGTGGTTTGTGCTGCAGGGAAAGCACTGGAAATTAAAACTAACTAACAATACGGATAAGATCAAGAGTACATAACACCTTGGGGGTTATGTACTCTTGATAAGATTGATAACAAAAAAAGAAAAAAAAGAAACAGTCTGGTCTGGAAGGCTCCAGAATTGTCGGGGCGCTAAGTGCCCTCCATTGGAAATGACACTCAATCACGGACTGAAACGCAACCATGTCGAGCCATTATACTTGCTTTGAAGTTTCGTGACGCACAAAGCCAATGATACCGCACTCTGTGTTGACCCTCTTGACCGTACGACCGAACATAGTGGCAAGATATGGCCACATGGTGAGGTCCTCTTCCTCCTTCACAAGAAATAATATCCAAAAGGGGTGATGCACCCTCTCTGACAAATAACCATGCAGCAGTCGTCCGTCATCTAACTTTGGAAACTTTGGTGAGCAGCTACACCCTGGAAATAAAGCCGCTGCCAACCAGGGCGTCCAATGTTCACTGACGACAGTGTTTATCTTGGACATCTTCTTTGTCTTGAGAAGCTGTTTCTCCCAGGCCGACAGGAGAAGGAGATGGTGTGTGGTGAAGGAGAAGGAGAGGGAAATGGTGGAGCTGTCAGATAGGCTGTCTATGATGGAGCTGAACGCAGTTGCTAACTCACAGCGGGCCTATTTGGAGTTGCTCTTCGAGAAGGTCATCTCTATGCTCGAATGGAGCACTACATTATCAGCCTGTACTGCTGCTGCCTGTATTACACTGTCACACTGAACCTTGCAAAACAAATTTTCGGCCAAAATGCCCGGGCCGAAAATAGCCGAAAACAAATATGCTATACCGTATATAGGAGGTCGGAGGCTGATAACAATTTCCAAACGAAGGTAGATCCACGAACATTCACGCAAATTCCAATTGAGCCATTCCCTGTACTATCCTTGATGAGAAGGGAACGAAACGTTCGATACAGTATTAGAAGTGCCTTGTTGACTGGATGTGTAGAATTGCGTGAATTCCTTCATTTGGAAATAAAATAAAATAAATAAATAAATATGCGCCGGATAGTTGTAGACTTACAGTGTGCATGGCCTACATTGTAATGTGCTTGCATAGCATGCCTATTTGTATTCCTACATGTTAGAGCAGGCAGCCTGCTGCCCATTCGCAGCCCAACCTGGAGGTAGGGATATCAGCGAACACACTGCGCAGGCACTTTGCGCATGGATGATGATGACTTGATGAGCGTAGGGAAATCTCCCCGCCGAAAAAAGAATTTTTATTTAAAAGTAAGTTGGCAGGTCTGTTGTATAAATCTATACAAGAACTCGATCCACGATGATCAAAAGCCAGCATTGCCATGACCGGCTGGCTGTGATGTAGCGCTTTCAAACTCTATCTATTCCTTTCCTATGCTGTGCTGTGCAACTGCAAGAGAAGACTGAAACCCAGACTGTGCAGCCTCTGGCTTTTGCCGCATGGGTGTCTGTCATGGCGAAATTCCTGGATTTCAGCATAGTTGGCGCAGATATGTGTTGCGGGCAGTGGTGCAGTAGTGCCTTCACCTGAGCTGCAGTCGTGCAGCAGGAGACCAGCGGGAATATCGCTTATGCACACCGTACTGTATCACTAGTGTGATGGACTTTCGCCGTGACAGCAACTCATTGGAGTTGTGTACTCTGGGTTTCAGGCTCCCTTGGTAATGGCACATGTAGCTATCATCGAGTTCAGTCAATACACGACACTCACTTCCTAGTCCATTGTATTGCTCAGGCTTGTTGATGGAAAGTTGTGATGTTCTCTGAGCCAGGTTGCTTTTTTTCCCCTGTGCCCTTTGTCATGTTCTGTTTTCTTTTCTCCAGGAGTGCACGGACTCGCTGTGCGCGCACTTTGGCACAAAGCGCTGCTTCTGCGGGCAGCCTTCACAGTGCCACGTGTGCTGCATGCACGAGGGAAAGTGCCGCACGCTGGACTCGCTGTCGGCCGCGACTCCGCAGCGCTTCAACGTCACCGGCCTGGAGCTGTTCCTGCCGCCCGGAGCGCCTTGCAACGACTTCGCCGGCTCGTGTAACTTTCTCCACGTCTGCCGGCAGCTGAGCGATAGCAGTGCCCTCCTCGACGTACACAACTTTCTCTTCAGCGCATCCACGTACGAGGCTGCGTACCTATGGATCAAGGCCAACTGGTGGATTGTGATATTGTCCGGATTTGGTTTGGTGGTACTTTTCAGCATTGTTATCTACCAGTGTTCATACAAAACGCCGCAAAAGATATTGCGTGTGCGCAATTCGCACCGCATGCCACAGTCCGGTCCCTCCAATGCGCCGCGCCGGACTTCCTCCTCCGACCCGCCAGGCAAACAGAGTGCCACCTCGTCGCGGCACGGTACATCCAAACAGCCACATAATAGCTCCTCGGCAACATCACAAAATGCCACCAGTGTGTCACGCCAACAGTCGACAGCAACCCATCTCTCGAACACAACACGCAGCGGTGTGTTCAGTGCCTCGCGGCAGCGTTCGACAACAACTCCCGATCTGTACGAGGCATCGCGGCAAGGTACTTTCGACGAGGCACAACAGTCATCCAAGAATTCCTCACAACGGCACAGTACGTTTGGTTCGTCACCGCGCCCACCACCAGCTTCTTCAAATCGCTGTCCAACGCCGCTTAAAAAACAAGTCACTGTCATGTCAGATCTTCTTTAGGCAAGTCTATGTGTGATATCTACAGCACACACACACACACACACACACACACACACACACACACACACACACACACACACACACACACACACACACACAGTCAACGCATTCAGCGCAGTCCTTGGTTTCCTTGTTTACCTGGACTGCTTTGCACCTGATCATACCTGGTTATGACCTGGGCATTTGCCTCAGCAGTCTCGTGTCATGCAACGGAAGCGTTCCAAGGCCCAAAGTGGTATGCGTGCTTCAGTTTATCCCTCAACAGTGAGAGGAAGTTGCGACGTGTCCTCCTAAGGTCTCGTACTGCATATCTGCGCATACGCTTCGAATTACATCGACATCATCCGTGGTGTTTTCTACGTATGTGTTCTTGTAGCAATGTTTGCACATGCCCTGGTCGACTTCTTTTGCCTACATATGCAATTCTCAATTCCAAGAAGACACTCGCTGTGCGCTCTCCTCTCATGCACATATACATGCACCTGTCAATCATGGAGATGATGTCACCGGCTGCCAACCCAGGCTATTGCCCTTCAATTAGACTGCAGATGCCAGTGCCAGTGCTGGTGCTGGTGCGAACGCCTGTACCTGGGTATACACAGCTTTGCTGGTCAGTGTGTGTTCAACTGCTGCTCTTGCAGTCTCTTTTGTTGCTGGTTTCTTCGTTTTGTTGATTAACGCCGTTCCTTGTGTGTGTGTGTGTGTGTGTGTGTGTGGTGTGTGTGGTGTGTGTGTGTGTGTGTGTGTGTGTGTGTGTGTGTGTGTGTGTGTGCGTGCGTGCGCTCCCAACACTGCCACAGAACATGCTGTAAATACAATGTATCTCTACGAATCTTGAACTTTCATAGCATTGAATTCTCTTTTACATGGTCATACTCAGTGTATGTTTGCCTTTATCTGGCGAGGAACACTTTCATATTTTTACAAAAATGATATTGCATCTCCACCAATATATTTCATATTCTTTTAGACAAAGTGTCTGAAGTCTCTGCTGCATATTCTTTTATCCAAAAGAGTTCTGATGTGAATCACACCTTTTTTTATCATTTGTTTGCTCCCCCATTTCTTTCTCTTGCCAGTGTTTCCGCACATCATAGTGTTTGTACAGCTTGTCCCTGTTTTACTGTTCATGCAGCTTTGTTAGGGTCCGTTTCATCACTGGTGATGGTAATGTGGCTATGGACACTTTTTCAAGTTTTTTGTCCGCATTTGTTCTCAATTCCTGGAGACGGCAACGTGACCATGAACACTGTTTTGTCTACATTTGTTCTCCGGCAATTTCTGGTGCTTGTAATGTGGCTATGAACATTATTTTGTCCACACGTTTGTTCTCAATTCCTTTTTACCTCTTCTTCACGTTGCTCACAATTATTTGTATTGGCACACAATGTTCGGTCACTGAATATAGAAATGTGGTAACAACACGAGCACACAGGCGATGTGGAAACAAGAGTTTTATTATGGCAATGAACTACATAGAACTAGAACTAGCGAGGTCAGTGGACATCATTGAACATAGCAACTATAGCTCTCTTGTCTCCCCCCCCCCCCCACACACACACGGGAGGTGAGCGGTACAAGACGTCCATACTAAAAACATTGCATGCCACACGTGTACCGGTACAGTGTATACCGGTACAGTGTATACCGGTACAGTGTATACCGGTATTTGTTTGTTTGTTTTGTTTGTATTCTTTATTTAGAGTGGGAAGTCCAAAACAGGCCCTAGCCTAATAACAATGGTCCCACTAGTGAGGGAATGCTGTATTTACTTGAAGAAGTATGGTTGGTGGGCTCTTCAGTGCCTCAGCCCATCCCAGCATGGCTCACTAGTGTGCCTTCCGCCTTGTTAGTTGTAACTACTTGCAACAATGCTGGCAATCGTCCAACAATGCGATCACGATCATGTAACCAGGGTAACCATGGTAACTAAATTGTTGATAAACGTGTGCAGGGTCTACATGGTCTACCAGCGACAATTTCCATGGTGACAAGTTTTCCTCATCTTCACCATGGTGACAGTTACACCTCCACACGTACACGACATCACATCATTCATTCAAGCTTCATCTCATGCAATGCTGCTAGCATGCTCACTAGCACTGTCACTTGTCATTGTCACCACTGGTCACTGACTGTGTTATGTCAGGCTTCACACTCTTTTCTACTCCACTTCCACTGGCACTGTCTTCATTCACTGATTCAGTGCTTCCCCTCCGACTCCGAATGAGACCCAGCAGTACTAGTGCTAGTACTAGTACTAGCACAGCGCGTGCCCATGGTGTCTGACGAGTGACGGCAAAATGTTACCAGGTTACGTACTAGTATGTCGAATGAAGGAGAAATACTCCGTAAAGTAAATACTAGCTTACTTACAGTAGTTATTTACAAGAGTTAGACAGTAAATAACTAGTACTCATGGTACTCATGGTACTTGGTCGAACATAGCCGCAGCAGGTCTATCTATGTCTTTACGGTTATTACCGGACGCCGGTCTGTAAATCGTGGCTGTAGTGTAGGCCATAATTATGGGGTGTGTGTAGCTAGCGAGACAGCAGCAAGATCTAGATCGGCAGCACTGGAGAGATATCCAGGACGTCTCGGAGACCTGTTTCAAGTTCAACCTCTACAACTCACTGCTGACAGTGCTGTGCTGCAGCGCTGCGAGTGACCAAGCACGCGGCTATTTCTCGCAGAGCGAAACAACAGATTCGTCCTGTCACAGGCGGTGTTCAATAGGCCATAGGGTCGACCGAGGGGGGCCACTTGCGCCACGGAGTCGAACACATACTCCATTGTCTTCCAATTCTACAAACAACATGAGCAAGCAGGTACGTGTGCGGTAGCTCTTCAATACTTCATGCACTCACGTAATCTGACCGGTCAAAGACTAAATACTACACAAGGCAGAACAACTGAACAGAGACCAAAAGCTTTCTCGTGACTCCGAGTTTCGTGGAGTTTTTTTTAACACGAAACTTGGAGTCACGAGAAGGCTTTTGGTCTCTGTTGTCCTGCCTTGTGTAATCTGATCGGTCGGTATTTTCTATTCCTTCTACTAAAACTAGTTCGTATTCAGTCTGCATGTAGATCTGCCAGGCCCGGTGGAACCGGTCCGGCTGGTCAGGCCACAGGTGCATAGCACCACCATTGGAGGTGTGGTCTGGCAGGAGAGGGGGGGGGGGGTGTCCCCCCCCCGGGAAAGTTTGGAAATTAGGGTTCAAAATCCTGCATTCTGGGCACCTTTTTCGTGGTCAGGTGAAAAAGTGGTCCGGCCAAAGCCAGACGAGCCGGACTGGCTGTTACGCCCCTGGGCCATGGCCGGACCAACGTTTTGACCACCAACGCGTGTTTTAATACTGCTGCCGGGTTAGGTCAGATATAGCCACCATATCACACTCCTACAAGTATGACAGGCTTTGGGTAGGGTCAGATCAATCAAAAACTCCTTCCGCCGGTCACGTGTCTACCTAGTATTGTGCACGTGTGAGCAGGGGGATTATGCCGTGTAAGTCATCTCGAAGCTATGAAACATGTCGATGTACATGCACGTGCACGTGAAACTGGATGATGTAGCCTGTGCGCACGTATTGTAGGTGTGCGGTGAACGGTGACGGTGAAGCTGCACTGCCAAGGATCATTGTGCCGCACACTACAGTGCATTCGCCAAATCGGGGCCCCTGATACCCTAAAACTACATGTACATGTGCACCATCTTGACGAACTCTCCATGATCCAGGATGGAGCAGCTTGGAGAGGCTGTATTCACGCGGCATAGCACACATACAGGCGATCTCTAGCGGAGGAAGTCCGAACAGCAGCGGAACCAAGTGTTTCAAAATAGTATTTTTTCGTATTGTGTCGATGCATATTGTAACGTGATCTGTAATAAGAATAAAGTGAGACTGTGAAAAACCTATAGGTCCAGATTTGGCGAATCATGGCGCTATAGTATGATATCCATCAGGAGTGAGCGATGTTGATCAGGAATGCAAACATAGCCATTGGCAAGCATGGGGATGGGGAGGGGGGGGGGGGCGGCATTTTATGGCTGTGTATACCGTGGGAGTGTATCCTTGCATGCCGGTACATGCGTGGAGGCGTGTGGAGACTCCCAGTGGCGTGGCTGGTCCTTATTTTATGGGGGGGGGGGGGGGGGGGGGTGCACGGGCGTATATATGCGGAGGATGGCTGTGCAGGTCATTCATGGTCATGTGCACGCCGAACCTACTTGAAGTAGGTCGAAATTTTTAGGGGGGGGGGGGGTGCACCTGCCCCCTGTGCCCCGTACGGACTACGCGCCTGGACTCCCTTTGATAGGCATCACGGCTTGCCTTTGGAGAATACTTGAAATAGAATGTCATTGTCATGGTGTGTGTGTGTGTGTGTGTGTGTGTGTGTGTGTGTGTGTGTGTGTGTGTGTGTGTGTGTATGTGTGTCACTGTGTGTGTGTGTGTGTGTGTGTGTGTGTGTGTGTGTGTGTGTGTGTGTGTGTGTGTGTGTGTGTCAGTCCGGTTGGTGGGTACACTTATGCCTGATTGTGTTGGGGCTGTTGCCAACAGGCTCGGCTGCTTGAAGGTGTATTGTTGTATCTGCCACCTTTGTTGGTTTCAGGGCTCGTATACTTTCTATTTGAAGTATACATACCTGTTAACCATGGACTGCTTCTGGCTAGATTAACTCTTGTGTACTGAATCAATGATGCTAGTGACGCTTAGATCAGATCCACTCTGATTTAGCCACCACACTAGTAGCAAGTATTACCTTCACTGGGGGCAGGGGTAAAATGCAGTTGGATCCCAGGACGGATACCCTGATGCCGTCAATCCTTTTTCTGCACCTTGTCCTCACCCACTTACTGAGGTGTGGTGAGCCCATAAGTGGGATCATTTTCAAGTCCACCCAGAGTTTTGGGGATTTCAGGGGGTGTCGGCCGTTGGGCGGTTCAATAGCCAGTTGAGTCATCTTTCCAAGATTCCTTTTGAGTCTCTCTCCCCTCTCCCGGGGAGACCCACGTGACCAGTTTTGGCAGTGAGCAACAAGTACAAGTACAAGACAGTTAGTACAAGTGTGTGTCCCATATGGTGCAGTGTTATGTGCAGCGATTTCCAATCGATAGGTTGCGCGTTCGATTCCCGACGACTATGGTCACACACATCTTTCTTCTCTTTCTCAGATTCCTCCTGACTTTTCTTTCATTCTCCTGGGTGGTTACCAACAGCCAGTGCATGCCGGAGTATGTGGTGTGATGCGTGTGTGAAAAAAATGAAAAAAAAAGAAAAGTAGGGATTCACTCGCCAGAAAAAGCCACTTCATAGCTGTGTGGTGTAGACCAGGCTGAATAGTGGCGGTCAATTCTTCAGCCTTGCAAGCTGTTGAATGGTGCAATCCCAGCACAAGCTGCTATGGCTTCTGCTGTAGCATCGCTATCATCGCCTCCGGCGATGGGCGTCCAATGGTCCAATGGTGTGTGTGTGTGTCACTGTGTGTGTGTGTCACTGTATGTGTGTGTCACTGTGTGTGTGTGTGACTGTATGTGTGTCCATGTGTATGCACGTGTACACGGGTGTGTGCGTGTCCATGTGTCTGTAACGTGCATGCATGATGGCATGGTGCGCACAGGTACCAAACGTGTATGCTAAACGACCTCATCGGGGCGGAACGCCTTTACTGTGCGACGACTTCTTGGCCAAGAGCGAGGAGATCATGCAGGTAGGTAGTAGGGTACTAGGTAGGTGTGCAGTCTGTGTGCTAGCCCAGTCTGCAGTCATTGTGCCAGGTGATCATGTGCCTTAGGCCCAGTCTGCAGTCTTTGTGCCAGGTGATCATGTGCCTTAGGCCCAGGCTGCAATCTTTGTGCCAGGTGATCATGTGCTTTAGGTCCAGTCTGCAATCTTTTCAACCGGTTTAGCCTGGTGATGACATGGAATGATTGATTTCTGGTGAAGATAATTTACCGCATAATTATGTACGCGTAGTCATGCCAAGTTACTTGACTCGCTTGATCGGATTGCATTGGATAGCACTGTATCTATGTACACAGGTTTACCCTAGTTAGTAGACAACCCCGCAGGGACCCTAGTTAGTAGACAACCCCGCAGGGACCCTAGTTAGTAGACAACCCCGCAGGGGTTTCTACAAATGTTCGGTCTTATGACGAGTATTACCTACTATCCAGACGTGAATGTACGCGTTTTAAGCACCAGGGGAGTTTCTATCGTTGTCTACTAACGAGGTTTTTCTTGTAGCCGGTGTCGTACTAACCTGGGTAGACCTGTACCGGTAGGTGCACCAGTGTCCACGGTTCACGATTGTGCATGCTTCATGTTTCACTGTGCACTGGTTGATAGTGGTCGGTGTGCCGGTGACATCCGTTGATGTGCCCCCCCCTCTCCTCTCCTCGGTAGGATGTGAAGGGCTATCTGAAGGAGAGCGAGGAGAAGCAGCTGCGGCGGCGTGAGCGACTGCACCAGCGCTGGGAAGAGGAGCACTTTCGCAAGCACCAGGTTAGTGTGTACTCCGCACTACTCAGGTCTGACATGCATGTGGTCAAGCAACGCTGGGTAGCTAGTAGCTACTACTAGTAATAACCGACATGACGTGCAACAGAGAAGTGTACCAGCTGACTTGCATTGTGAAATACGGCCGCATCAGATTCATAAACATGTAAATTTTGAGTACTTTTGAAGATGAAGTTCATAAGCACAGACTACGGTGTCTTGCAACCGGCACTGAGGTAACTGAACCCATCCAGACTTGGTAGTCATGCTGTGATGAGAGTCAGAATGACACGTTTGTGCGTGTGTGTGTGTGTGTGTGTTGTTGTTGTTGTTGTCGTTCTCGTCGTCGCCGTCGTCGTCGATCGCTGATATCCAGGAACATGTTGCATGGCAACTGGCTGGGCCTCGCTATGATGTCTTGAAGCAGAGGCGGTCTGCACATGCAAACCAGTATCTTGATGTCACCGACCGGAAGGTAGGTATTGTGTCTTGACAAGCCATCATCACGTTGTTTCCAGCTCACGTTGTTTCCAGCTCATGTTGTTTCCAACTCGGCCAATGACTATAGCCTAGTATAGGATGATCTAAGACGACTGAGAGACAGCAAGTTCAAGTGGTGCTTGGAAGTGGAGGAATCTTTCCAACCGTGCTGCACCACACAATTGATTGGCCACTCAAGAGTCATGACCTAGCAGCATGGATGCAGCAAATACAGTAGGGTGTTGGGCTTTGACCATGGTTATATCTAAGCCGAGCTGGCAAACTGTGCGGCAGATTTTCTGTGCACATTCGAGTTTCGACAATGTCCCTCCAGATCGCTTCATTGCTCTGTCAACTATTCTTTTCTGTATTATGTTGTACAGGGGCACGTCTTTCTGGACTCCTACTCGTCAAAGGATGGCTATGATCCCTTTGCGCTCTCTCGCCAGCGGCCACATACTCTCAAGGTAATACCAGTAACCAAGTCACACGGCCTTGCACTTATACTCTCAAAGGCACAGTTACGGGCTTGGGAGTTGTCCATTTGCCAGGAGGAGAAGAAGACCCAGGCAGTGGCGAATTACCATGCGCGTATGGACCTGGATAGAGTGCGTCCAGTGCTGGCAAAAGTGTCCGATTTATCAGGCACTGTCGGAAAATCTACTCTCTCGGTCCCGAAACCTATCCAATCGGGAACCTTTCCAATTTTGACGGTGACTTGAGATTTCATCCGGACGAGTTTGATACCATCAGCGAGACTGCACACCACACACACGGCACACCATACACTCTGCACACTGTTGAAATGCTGGAGTGTACCTATGAGATATCACTGTCCTCAGGTTCATGCACTAAAATGCTTCTAAGACTCTGTGTGCGCGCGTGCATGTGTGTGTGTGTGTGTGTGTGTGTGTGTGTGCGCGCGCGTGTGCGTGCGTGTGATGGTGGCCTTACTTTGGGGATCCTGCAGTTTCCTCAGGAAAATATGTTGACAATTCAGCCGATATGTCACAGTGAACACTGTTATGCTATGTCTTCCTTCAGACCTCTCCCAGAAACTGGAAAACAGACCCGCTTCAGTACGTCGCTACCGAGACAAGCCGTACAAGGAATATCCGAACAAGTGAAATAGATGCAGCGCCTCACAGCAAGATGATGTTCATCACTCACCCGCAGAAGCCCCTGAAGCCGCTGGGCCGACACGGCACAAGTTGGGACGAGTGGGATGAGATGGGCCGAACCTACATCGACAGCGATGCACGGCAATGCAGTCAGTAAGTCGGGGTCGGCCAAAAGTAGTGCATCATGCGGCACTGTGCTACAGTGTAGAGCTGTTGCTTCTGCTGGCAACCTATGCTGATGTTCGCATGCTGTGTGCATCCGTCAGCAGGGCAGCGAGGTGCTGGTGTTACATGCAGTTACATGCAGCTACATGTAGTTGTATGTAGTTGTATGTAGTTGTATGTAGTTGTATGTAGTTGTATGTACATGTAGTTGCATGTAGTTGCATGTAGTTGCATGCACGTTTTACAGTGTCGCACTATGTCGGCACACGTAGGCGTGCAAATACAGTTTCTGGTCCCGGATGATGGATCAGTCCGCTTCAATGAACGCAACAGCGATTGTCCCTACATTGCCATAGGACAGTAAATGCCACTTGAATACATGCCGATGGTACCTATCCTGATTGACACCACTACTGTACTAGGGGATGACATCACTACTAGGGGATGACATCACTACTAGGGGATGACATCACTACTAGGGGATGACATCACTACTAGGGGATGTCGCATTGCAGCTCATTGCAGCTGAGTATGGTAAGGAACCATTTCTACAATTGTCTAGCCTGTTTCCAAACCCAAGCCGGCAGCACTTGACTACAGTGCATCATCACTATTTCAAATGCTTGAATGTTTACAATACAGCTGTGTCAGGTCATTGGATAATCATAGCAAATACCACTCATATCTCGCACTCTCCTTTGCTGTTCCTCTCCTTCTGCTCAACAGGCAAAAGATACTGAACATTCGCAACACAAGTGGCGACTGTGCCGATAGCCTAGTTGATCGGCTACCCGCGCTGCCATCGACGTGAGTGTTGACGATACAGTGCACACACACACACACACACACACACACACACACACACACACACTGCACGTAACGTGGTACATGTACATGTTATATGTGAGACCTGGCCCAATGGGCAGGTAGCAGCACTCCGGCAGCCATGTGCAGCTGCACCTCTGGTATCCGGTAGCAACCAGACGGCAAGTGACGTGTCGCACACACACACACACTGTGTTTGTGCAACATGCGTGCGTGTGTGTGTGTGCATGTGCGTGTGTGTGATCCATTGTGTTTAACAACATTGTGGGGCTGCCGTGTCCGGATGATCCTCGTCCTGCTGTTGGGAGACTGCGCCAAGCTAGACAAGCTACCGTACACATGTTGAGACCGTTGAGTATCCGTGTATCCGTGGTGGCCCACACTCTAGTCTGGCCACAAGAACATGTCTCGTAGACATGACAACAAGATGAGATTCAGAAGACACACATTTTTGTATCTTATCTCATGGATTTCATCTCTCTGACAACCGGGTTGTGACCATGGTGACAATGGTGCATGTAGTGTACTGCTACTGCCCTGCACCATACTTCACCTGAACTCCACCACAATCAGTATATCATGTAATGAACTGGCTCAGTGACCCTTTTAACAGTTTTAGAAATCTGAAAATACCGCTGAATGAGATTGGTCTGAGCTGCTCAGAACCCATGGAGTGAGCGCACGTGCTGCCGTGCTGGACATGGCTGGGCCGAGATCCTATCAGGAAGTCTTTTGCACGTTGCTTTGCTATGGGATCGGCAGTGTACGTGAACGGTCATAAATGAACGCCACAAAGCTTGCACTGAGCTGAAGGTAATTATTTGCATGCTTTGTTCCGAAATTTTGTGGAGTTCTAAACCTGAGCTGCATCATCGTCTTGTGCTCGCAATCCTGCTCTCTGAAGTTATTTTTCATCCTCCCGCTGTGGGTGATTGCATCTCTGCTGCCTGTAGTAACAACTGCTGGACCAGCTTTTGTTTTCAGATCCTGAATGCTGCTCCCGGTTGATGTTTGAGTGATATTCATTGTGCACACACCACACTGTCTACAATACAGTGCAGCATGGCCACATGCAGCCTTTCCGTGACACCCGCAGACGCATGTGCGCAGTCATAATGTGTACAATGCCATGTGTGTGTGTGTGTGTGTGTGTGTGTGTGTGTGTGTGTGTGTGTGTGCGTGTGTGCGTGTGTGCGTGTGTGTGCGTGCGTGTGTCTGTGTGTGTGTGCCAGCTAGTCCGGTTGGTGGGTACACATATGCCAGATAGTGTTGGGTCTGTTGCCAACAGGCTCGGCTGCTTGAAGGTGTGTTGTTGTATCTGCCACCTTTGTTGGATTCAGGGTTCATATACTTTCTATTTGAAGTATACATACCTGTTGACCATGGACTGCTTCTGGCTAGATTAATTCTTGTGTAATCAACGGTGCTAGTGAAGCTTATGTCAGATCCACTCTGATTTAGCCACTCACACTATTACCAAGTGTTACCCTCACTGGGGGCAGGGGTAACTGCAGTTGGATCCCAGGACAGATACACTGGCAGTGATGCCGTCAATCCTTTTTCTGCACCTTGTCCTCACCCACTTACTGAGGTGTGGTGAGCCTGTAAGTAGAATCATGCCCAAGTACACCCATAGTTTGGGGATTTCAGGGGGTGTCGGTCGTTGGGCGGTTCAATAGCCAATTGAGTCCTCTTTCCAAGATTCCTTTTGAGTTTCTCTCTCCCCTCTCCCGGGGAGACCCACGTGACCAATTTTGGCAGTGAGCAAGTACAGTACAGTGTGTGTGTGTGTGTGCGTGCGCGAAAGTGTGTGGTGTGTGTATGTGTGTGCGTGTGTGTGTGTGTGCATTTGTGTGTGTGTGTGTGTGTGTGTGTGTGTGTGTGTGTGCATTTGTGTGTGTGTGTGTGACTGTGTGTGTGTGTGTGTGTGCGCTCGCGCATGTGTGCAGATGTATGTGTGTGTATGTGTGCGTGTGTGTGGAGGGGGGGGGGGGGAGGTAAACCTAATCCCTGGCACACTGCATGGAGATCAATTAGATGGACGCTCATCTCAACAGAACACACTATTCAGCTAGAAGCTAAGCCATACATTTTTTTAGTGTTTATTTGAATTCGGATAGCTCAACAGTACAGAAGTATAACTACAAGGAGTACCGAATAGAAGGCCCCGAGAATGGGAAACCCCCCAAAAAAACAAAAAAAAAAAAAACAATTTACATGATACTAGTGAACCTGTAACAAGACGGCAACGTCTGTAGGGCCTTCCCTATCAAAATAATAAATTCTACTACTACTACTACTACTACTACTACTACTACTACTACTACTACTACTACTACTACTACTACTACTACTACTGACCAAACCACTTTTACGGGCAAAAAAATACCATGGTAAGCACACAAGTGATGGAAAAGAGTGAGTAAGAACGAAAGAGAGAAAGAAAGAGAGAATGCACTAGTATGTCAAGAGAAGTAATCAATTGTTAAGGTCTTTGAGCTATTGTTATATTGTCCAGATTGACGCATGGACACTGAATCTCAGCCGGCAGCCTGTCGACACTGCACCAACAACGACGAGCGGACGCGACGCTGGTAGGATGATCGGCAACCGCGAAAGCAGGTTATTGCCCACCGTACGAGGCAGAATGCCAGCCGAACACGCAATGCACTGACGATGCTTGAATACCGGATGTCTTTATTGCGCTCCGCGAGCCGACCGGCAAGTGTCGCCAGGAATCGTGAGCACTCCGGCCCCGCCATCCCATTCGTGGCGAACACAAGAGGGGTGAAAGAGCCTCTCTCGACTTCAGTGACCCTGGCACCGTACTGCTGCTTCTTTTGCCGTTCATGGGCCCTGAGTTGGTTAAGGACTTCTGGACCAGACAGCACAGACGCCTTAGGGTGGGTTACCCTAACATCAAAATAAGCGTCTTGCTGCCTTGTCCAGAAGCCCCGGGCACGAATGTCCAGCCGAGCCTCATCAGTCCGGTTAGCCGTCGCATAGGGCAGATCCTCGCCAGACAGCGGCCGGAGACGTGGCTCTGTCTCGACATCGCGAACAGCTTCGGAGAGCGTCTCCGCCAGGATGTCACGCACTACTACTACTACTACTACTACTACTACTACTACTACTACTACTACTACTACTACTACTACTACTACTACTACTACTACTACTACTACTACTACTACTACTACTACTACTACTACTACTACTACTACTACTACTACTACTACTACTACTACTACTACTACTACTACTACTACTACTACTACTACTACTACTACTACTACTACTACTACTACTACTACTACTACTACTACTACTACTACTACTACTACTACTACTACTACTACTACTACTACTACTACTACTACTACTACTACTACTACTACTACTACTACTACTACTACTACTACTACTACTACTACTACTACTACTACTACTACTACTACTACTACTACTACTACTACTACTACTACTACTACTACTACTACTACTACTACTACTACTACTACTACTACTACTACTACTACTACTACTACTACTACTACTACTACTACTACTACTACTACTACTACTACTACTACTACTACTACTACTACTACTACTACTACTACTACTACTACTACTACTACTACTACTACTACTACTACTACTACTACTACTACTACTACTACTACTACTACTACTACTACTACTACTACTACTACTACTACTACTACTACTACTACTACTACTACTACTACTACTACTACTACTACTACTACTACTACTACTACTACTACTACTACTACTACTACTACTACTACTACTACTACTACTACTACTACTACTACTACTACTACTACTACTACTACTACTACTACTACTACTACTACTACTACTACTACTACTACTACTACTACTACTACTACTACTACTACTACTACTACTACTACTACTACTACTACTACTACTACTACTACTACTACTACTACTACTACTACTACTACTACTACTACTACTACTACTACTACTACTACTACTACTACTACTACTACTACTACTACTACTACTACTACTACTACTACTACTACTACTACTACTACTACTACTACTACTACTACTACTACTACTACTACTACTACTACTACTACTACTACTACTACTACTACTACTACTACTACTACTACTACTACTACTACTACTACTACTACTACTACTACTACTACTACTACTACTACTACTACTACTACTACTACTACTACTACTACTACTACTACTACTACTACTACTACTACTACTACTACTACTACTACTACTACTACTACTACTACTACTACTACTACTACTACTACTACTACTACTACTACTACTACTACTACTACTACTACTACTACTACTACTACTACTACTACTACTACTACTACTACTACTACTACTACTACTACTACTACTACTACTACTACTACTACTACTACTACTACTACTACTACTACTACTACTACTACTACTACTACTACTACTACTACTACTACTACTACTACTACTACTACTACTACTACTACTACTACTACTACTACTACTACTACTACTACTACTACTACTACTACTACTACTACTACTACTACTACTACTACTACTACTACTACTACTACTACTACTACTACTACTACTACTACTACTACTACTACTACTACTACTACTACTACTACTACTACTACTACTACTACTACTACTACTACTACTACTACTACTACTACTACTACTACTACTACTACTACTACTACTACTACTACTACTACTACTACTACTACTACTACTACTACTACTACTACTACTACTACTACTACTACTACTACTACTACTACTACTACTACTACTACTACTACTACTACTACTACTACTACTACTACTACTACTACTACTACTACTACTACTACTACTACTACTACTACTACTACTACTACTACTACTACTACTACTACTACTACTACTACTACTACTACTACTACTACTACTACTACTACTACTACTACTACTACTACTACTACTACTACTACTACTACTACTACTACTACTACTACTACTACTACTACTACTACTACTACTACTACTACTACTACTACTACTACTACTACTACTACTACTACTACTACTACTACTACTACTACTACTACTACTACTACTACTACTACTACTACTACTACTACTACTACTACTACTACTACTACTACTACTACTACTACTACTACTACTACTACTACTACTACTACTACTACTACTACTACTACTACTACTACTACTACTACTACTACTACTACTACTACTACTACTACTACTACTACTACTACTACTACTACTACTACTACTACTACTACTACTACTACTACTACTACTACTACTACTACTACTACTACTACTACTACTACTACTACTACTACTACTACTACTACTACTACTACTACTACTACTACTACTACTACTACTACTACTACTACTACTACTACTACTACTACTACTACTACTACTACTACTACTACTACTACTACTACTACTACTACTACTACTACTACTACTACTACTACTACTACTACTACTACTACTACTACTACTACTACTACTACTACTACTACTACTACTACTACTACTACTACTACTACTACTACTACTACTACTACTACTACTACTACTACTACTACTACTACTACTACTACTACTACTACTACTACTACTACTACTACTACTACTACTACTACTACTACTACTACTACTACTACTACTACTACTACTACTACTACTACTACTACTACTACTACTACTACTACTACTACTACTACTACTACTACTACTACTACTACTACTACTACTACTACTACTACTACTACTACTACTACTACCATACAATATGAGTGATTTGCCGCTGCATGGCCGTTGCCTACATGCTCTGTATCTGACTAGGACTGAGGGCAGGGCCGGTGCATGGACACGAGTACAGTATCATACAGCCTGGTGCTGCATCTCCGGAATATAATAATACAATCATGTACATGTCATTGTGCATTGTAGAATTAGCATAGAGCCGAGGTTAAGCAAGTGATGTCACGATGACGAGTCAGCAGAACTGCTTATGGGTGCCATGTATACAGTGTGGGTCGGCTCGAGCTATTGCCGCGTCGCGACTGTGCCAAAACCCTCGACCGATGACGTAATCACATAACATATTATTATTATTATCATCATTATGCTACTCGTACTTTTGAAAAGTACTTCCACTGGTTTACTGGTTGCACAACGGCCACGTGACAATCATTCACAGGAACTGACCGGGTAAACCTGTACTTAGAGGGGAAGTTAAGGCAAAAATTAAAATTTCACCAGTTGTAGTCTTCGGGGTGCTGAGTCGAATGGTCTTGGTCCGAGAAAGCTGAGACGCTCCCTTCCTACTTGAATCCCAATCGAACTCGCGCACTTCCACCGAAACTGGGTGACTGCGCCCTACTAGATGGGGATTTGTATGCAAAATGCCACTAAAAGCGCCGTTTCGTTCTTATAAAAGCACGGATGACCGCGATTGGCCCATATGTTGTAGTCTTTTGGACGCTGAGTCGACTGGTTTTGGTCCGAAAAGGCTGCGATGCAGCGTTCCTCCTTTATTCCCAATCGAACATGGTTGAACAAGTGGTCACGTGCTCCTCGGTGCCCAAATCACCTGGTCACCACGCCAGCAGGCGACAACTTTCACACCAAGGTTCAACTCGAGTTCAACTCGAGTGACAGGACTGCACCCAAAAAAGGTCAAACAGGCTAGTTAGTTGTACCCTGCAGGCACGGTGACCAGCTGACTGGTGTACGCAGGAGCACGTGACCGCTTGTTCAACCATGTTCGATTGACGAGTGGCGTCCGAGATGCCGACTGTGGCGATGAAGAGTCGGAAACTCCGTTCCCATGCAGGAAAACGGGCGGCAGCGTCGTAGAGGCTGCTGTAGACCAGGAATGGCTCCGGAGGCGGTAGTGGGAGTAGGTACATGGCGAAGATCAGGCGTTTGCTCGCAGCGCCAAGGTAATCTCTTGCTTTATTCCAAACTACAGCTCCCTCGGAGCTCCGGAAACTTGCGGAAAGCTCTGATGCCAACAGAATGTAATGCTACTGACTACTGTCTGTGCATGCATGAGTACACTACAGAACTGGTGCGTAGACTTACCATGCTTACCGACTGTCAGTACAGGCGTGGGAAGCGGCATATGTAAATCATGGATAGGAGCACAAAACGGTGCCGCGTGCATACATGTACATGCGTGTGACAGTCCATACATGTACAATCAATGTCAATCATTAATTTTTGTTAGATTGACAGCTAGCAGGAAACAAGGTGGAGGACACCTGGTCGACACTGTGTTCGGAAACAGTGACCTTACTACAACAGTACAATCATACAACCTTCCGCGGTTGGCAGAGCCCCGGTCCCTGCGGGCCATTTTAACCTGCATAATTATGGTATGGGTGTTGAGCCCGGTTCTGACCCCCGTTATCATGGTTATGCTAGGGGGTTGGAGACTACTCCATTACGTCCGTCGTGTATTCTTTGATCGCTGCTTGATCATGTTGATGTCGTCCTGGTTTTGACACCTAGACACTTTCTCACCTGTGTATCATGGTGTATCATCGACCCGCAACACTTCCCTTGCAGTCTTGCACCGCGTATACCGCTCCACCGCAACCTCAGGTGGCGTTTGTTCGGTGCCATTCACCATTCCAAAGGCTGAAAGCCATTCCGCTGTGTTTTGGTTCCGGTGCGTTTGTTAGATGCACGCTTGGCCCCCGATCGCGGAATGGATGGGGCAGAATCGCAAAGAAAAAGAAAGATTTAAAAAGTGGAATGAGATTATATTCGCGGGGTTCAGAAACACACAAGCTATAGCCTTCGCTTCCGCAGGCCACCACTACCGGTATGCCTTTTCACCGACATGTAGTCCTCAGACCTCACAAGTGAGTGGAATGAGAGCGGAATGAAAATGCGCTGCAGCCACCGGTACAGCGGTCAGCAGGGGCTTTGTGCAGCCTAGCCAGGCCAGACTCGCACGAGTCGCAGTACCTATCACCATGATCACCTCCTGAGCTAACATAATTACACTAGTAGTATAATGTTTATAAAGCTTTGTGCCGCAAGGCCTTTCGAAGTTTCGTGTCACTTTGTCTTGAACTTGTAGAAAGTAATTAGTTAGTTTGTGCCGACACGCCTGACTTGTGACAGTCATCAGTGACAGTGAGCCTGAACGAGCGAATAATACTATTAATATAAAACGTTTCTGTCGGTAGTAGAATATTATGGTAGTGACTAGTAATAGTATTGTGCGTGTTGCTACGAACCATACCAACACCTTACACATGTACCTACAAGACTGAGGAAACGCAGAGTAATTGGTCCTCGAGATGGCGAGTAACGAGGCGTTTTCGTGGCCGGTGAAGTTGACCAAGGACTTCTTGCCCATTTACTCTGTTCCAGTCTCTCTAGTTGATAGCGGTTGCGCCTTGTCCCCTGGAGTTTTGCTTTCAACGTCGGCAACAACGTCAGGCCAGTCAAGGGCGGAATCTCCGATCGAGCCTTTAAGGCCAGCCGATGGCTTTCCAGCTCCTCTTCCTGGGCCTGGCATTGCCATCTCAAAGAGCGAACCTGCTGCTACACCATCGAAGAAACCACCAGCTCTCCTGGATACTGGAAACATGGCTGTGGCCGATGTAGCTAAAGAAAGAAAGCCAGTTGCCGAAAGGTCAGTGTCTGCTAGTGGGGCCTCAAAGAGACGAGCGAGAAAGCAGAAAGTGTCCGCAGGAAGTGAATTCAGTCGATTCCTACGTCGACACGAGGAGCGTGAAGCGAGGACACAAAAGGACCAAAAGAAGAGACACAAAGAAAATATGACAGTGACGACGGGACTCCTGAAGGTGATGCAAAGCATGACTGGGAAGAAGAAGAAAAGACGCAGGCAAGCACAGTGGCGCGATACCTTCTCAAGCTCTACCTCTGCAGCTTCATCGTCATCGTCATCATCTCCATTTCACACCTGGTTCGAAAGCGAAAGTGATAGTAGTGACCTAAGTCTGCAAAGCATGACTGGGAAGAAGAAGAAAAGAAGCAGGCAAGCACTCCGGCGCGATACCTTTTAAAGCTCGACCTCTGCAGCTTCATCGTCATCGTCATCATCTCCGTTTCACACCTGGTTTGAAAGCGAAAGTGATAGTAGTGACCTAAGTCTGCAAAGCATGACTGGGAAGAAGAAGAAAAGATGCAGGCAAGCACAGCGGCGCGATACCTTCTCAAGCTCGACCTCTGCAGCTTCATCGTCATCGTCATCATTTCCGTTTCACACCTGGTTTGAAAGCGAAAGTGATAGTAGTGACCTAAGTCTGCAAAGCATGACTGGGAAGAAGAAGAAAAGACGCAGGCAAGCACAGCGGCGCGATACCTTCTCAAGCTCGACCTCTGCAACTTTATCGTCATCGTCATCATCTCCGTTTCACACCTGGTTCGAAAGCGAAAGTGATAGTAGTGACCTAAGTCTGCAAAGTATGACTGGGAAGAAGAAGAAAAGACGCAGGCAAGCACTCCGGCGCGATACCTTCTCAAGCTCGACCTCTGCAGCTTCATCGTCATCGTCATCATCTCCATTTCACACCTGGTTCGAAAGCGAAAGTGATAGTAGTGACCTAAGTCTGCAAAGCATGACTGGGAAGAAGAAGAAAAGACGCAGGCAAGCACGGCGGCGCGATACCTTCTCAAGCTCGACCTCTGCAGCTTCATCGTCATCGTCATCATCTCCGTTTCACACCTGGTTCGAAAGCGAAGGTGATAGTAGTAACCTAAGTCCTTGAGCCTGTTGGGTTTAAGGCTTGCCCTGTCACGCCTGAGGTAATCCACTAGGGACTCTGCTGTGTCTACATGTACGCGCTGTTGAAATGTTGTACCTCCTTCACATCTGCCCTCTTTTTTCAAGACCCTCCATATATATTCTAGTGATTGTTAGTCTTGGGCATAATGCTGTCTGATGAGTGTTCACACGAAACTCCGAGTAACAGCGGAAAAGGTTTTGTTTGATTCATTGCTGTGTAATCTTTGTACAGTACAACATAACTTTATGTGTATTAAAATGTCGGTGTTTCAGGGTTTTTTTTGTTCTTTTTTACTATTGACACAGCCCTACTGGAAAACAGGTGGAGAACAAAAAGAAACGAGGAAAAGGACAAAACATAGGGGATGTAGGGACGACGTGCTGATGTGCTGGGAGCAACTCAACCGACCAGAGGTCTCGGCGTCAGCGTTGCAACTAGGCATCGAAAAATGTGTGTGTGTGTGGGGGGGGGGGGTTGCACAAGAACAACTGCAAAACAAACAGAAGCTAGAGAATACCACAAATAATAACTTGGTGCGAAATAATGAGAAGAAAAATTAATAATGACGCCCAAAAGCGCTAAATACGAAATTAAGAAAAAGGAAAATAATAAACCACATAGCGCTAAAGCTGCACCAAATAATAATTTAAATTATAACTAAACCTGGTGGAAAACCAAGAAATCATAACAAACAAAACAAACTAAATAAAAAATTAATAATTAAAAATTAAATAATAAAAGGTAAATGAAGCCCAATATCATCAGCAGAGCCGAACCAAGGAACATGACCCGTGCCACAGTCAGGAGTTCATCCGTAGAAGTCGGTAGCCATCAGCCAGTGTTGGTGCGTGAGGTACTTATGGGCATCTTCTTTGAACGCGTGGAGCCGCTTCAAGCTGAGTGGAGCCCTTACAATTTCGCTTGGCAAGCGTGATGTTTTAAATGACCAGCCTTCCCTTCACATACATGTACAGTGCACATTCTCTTGCCTTTGCACATTGCGGAGCCTATAATATACACCATCACACAGTGATATTCGGAAATTTATGCTATTTCGTTCTTTTGATTGTGACGGTAAATTAGTGTTGCAATCATGGAGTATATCGAAGCGTCATGGTCCATTTTTAAAGCTACTTCGAAGTATGTATTATTCCTCACCCGTTGCTCCTAGGCTATGGACTGTTATACCATCGCAGGTAACTGCTGTAAAGTTTACGTTACAGAGAGATTTTTCTGGGTCATTCGTTACTTTCTTTTACCGTGTTCACAGCACACATAGTGCCACTATTGCGGATCCTAACAAAGCTAGTGCTGTTCTCATTTTTTGTTTATGAACACATACCGTAAGAGCACAGACGGTGAGCCATGTTCCAACACATTTCTTGAGTGGGTGCGGGTTTTTTAAACCTTTCAATTTTATCCTGCAAGTAATATTCGGCAAGTTGTTACGTGGTACCAGATATACAGACAATGTTTTCATTGGCAACTAGCAGAGCTTGGTGCGATAATTCCTTTAGGGAGCCTAATACTGGCACATGTAAGATGACATGTGCATGTGGAATTGTTTCCATGGGACTAAAGAGTTTGAACGTATTACTAGAAACTGGCAAAAAGATAGAACAGATAGAGAGAGAGAGCCATAATTATCAAACTTGAAAAAGCTGGTACAACAAATAAAAAATGGCTGAAATAGCAATGATTTGCAATGATCAAAGCAGTCAAGGACCAGCTACAGGAAAAATTCATGATGTGGCAAGACACAAGAAGATTGTTCGATTATCTTGTAGATATGTCAAAACAATACAACGAGTTGCCATGGCTAGCGGATGAAGCGGAGCGGAAGGCATCAAAATGCGAATGAGTTCGAGACAAAATTGCTGGACAACCCATGGTGATTAAAGAGTACCGGTAATCCAATACATCGTCCAATTCTTTAGAAGCCCGTCCGTACATGAAAATTTACCCGATCCGGACAGGATTCCGCTTGATGCAGGGTCCGATAAACTCAGGTTTCACCGTAATAATTATCCAGCTGGGCAGAGCATGGCATCATCAGATGGAGAGATACTGGATGAGCTGTTGTCGTGGAAGTTGTGCTGGAGCAGCTGGGTTGAAAAACACTGCTTCGTCGTCGCCCTGGACAGTGGACAGTATCATCTTGAGGATCAGCAGCATCAACAGCAACAGCGTCATCTCCAAGGAAGTAGTCAGCATCATCAGCATCATGAATGCGGCATACATTGTGAAGGACACAACAAGCAATGATCAACTTCGGGTAATCTTCCGGTATATCTAGATCGACGAACTGCAGCTTTCGCCGTCTGCAACGCAGCAAACGGAAAGCCCGCTCCACTACCTTTCATGTACTGGCACGAGCGTCGTTGTCGGTGATCTGGGTTTGTGTCAGCGCTGGGCCATGATGCTTGACTGGCACCATAAGCAACTGGTGTCATGGATAGGCGCTGTCGCCGATGATGTACGTCTGAAGGGGGAACCGGCGTTCTGGTGATTGGCCACTTCAGGAGCCAGCGTTGAATTCCTCAACACTCTGGCATCATGGACAGAGCCAGGGTAGCCAGCAAAACAATTTGTGAAGATCATGTCGGCATCACCATGATCACTAACTGCTTGTAACAGAATGCTGTAGTAGGGCAGCCTATTCCGGTAGCTGTCCATGCCGTGAGACGGTGGCTTCACTTCTATGTGGGTTCCATCAATGGCTCCAATGCGGCCTGGAACTTGGAAGAGATGCAATGCTTTCAAAGTCTGCACTTGTTTGAAGAGCCCTTGGTCCGTGTGGCCATTTGATGAACTAATGGGTGCAAGCCTAAAGCCCTAATCAACAAAGTCCATACTCTGCGAACAACCCGCCACACACTGAATTTTGCTGATGTCAAATCGGTCTGACACGTCACGAATGCAGACGGGATTGCCCAGGTACCAAAGTCTGAATAGAAAGTGACCAGAAGATGCTTGGATGGTGCTATCGTTGGGCGACTACCTGTCAAACATGGGTACGGTGGCAGTTCACCCTCATCGCTGTTGCATACCTCCGCCAACAAAACTTCAAACGCGATTTTCGACATACGGAAATGTTGCCTGAAATCGTCCAGGTTATAAGCTGGTACTGTAACCTCGGCATAGTTACTTGTTCGTGGTATTTTGACCCTTCGCTGTCTGAGAAAGCGTTCGCCCATGACAAGAACTGGAAAGATGCCCTCGCACCTCTCCTCCTCATCGTCGAGCAGGGCCTCTAGGGGAGGTAAGCCAGAACTCTGCTTCGAGCCCGACGATCCATAGCACATAACCAGCCAAACAGCCTGCTACTCGACTTCTTCTTACAACCGTGCTTCGTCTCCGTCAAACAAGCACTTCAAATCTGTGTAGAGCTAGAGACGTTTCTGTGACCGATACGAGGTCGCGAATAGCCTCATGATATAAGTAGCTGACAAACGCTGCGTACAGGCACTAACAGTTCGTGCACAGCGTTTGGCCGCTCCTTCATCAAGACTCACAGGGACATACATGTATGCAGAAACGACACGTAGATCTACGGCAGTCGGAAGCAAAAGCGCAACTACCATGACTACCGGTAGTCTTCGCAAAGCCACAAAGCATGCTAGCAGGTGCTAAAAACAAAAACATTCGACCGTCGTTTCCTGAGTCGCGCAATTTTTTTGCCAGTTTCCCGAGTGCATGCGCATATGCGCGCACGTTTGTCTGCTACGCTCATTCCGATTCCGCGATGGGTATCGACTGCATACCATGCCCATTCTGGAATGATCGAACGAATGCAACCTTAGACTCGAAGGGATATTTTCATCTGCACCTTTTTCACTTTCATGTACATGATCTCTTCAGCATCAACTCCATGCCACCACCCGGAGCCATCCATTCTTGATCCACTGACGATGTCGTTCAGACCAACGAAGCGTCTGGAAGAGTATAGTAAAACTTCATGCACCACTCTTGGTCTAACGAAAAGAATTTTAGTCAGTGATACAACGAGCGTGGCTAACCAACGACTTGTCTTATCAAAAGAAGAACTGACTTACTAGTATCACTACCCTTACCCCTTAGTATCACCCCTTATTCATTGCATACCTGGTGAGGGCAGTTAATATTTGGCCAAAACGTTGTAAAAAATGTATTGAGAAATGACTTCGAGTTTGCAGAGTGAATGGGAAGAGAGCGAGTCTGCTCTGAAACCATTTTTTCCTATGAATGAAGCTGCAGGAAGCCTCACCACTGCTGCTCCCTTGTTCAAAGTTAGTGTATAGCACGTAGGACAGCGGTTTGGCCACGTAACGGTGTCGTTGTCCGCCAGGTAATCACGCGGCTTCGCTTGCTGTGATGTCGCCCGGTTGACACTGAGCAGTGTGTTCAGGGACCTGGGTGGTTATGCTCGTGGGCCCTTCTCTTTGATGCGCCCAATAAACTGCCAGAGGCTACGGGGCCATGGAGAAGACATAATTCTACTTTTCCAGTCATTTTACCTATGACTGTATTTAGGAGCTGGTCAAGTACCTCGGCCTCCAGCTTCTCACAACAGCATCTAGCAACGAACAACCGCTAACCGCTAATGGATGAACAGCAACGAACAACCGCTAACCGCTAATGGATGAATGTAGATCTACCATGGTACGACTGTCTATCACTCATCAGGACGTACTTCCAAGTAAGTTCATTCGTTGGCTTCACCACACTAAGCACTAAGCACCAAGTACATGTACCTGTACATGATTGTACTCCTAGATCCTACAAGCAGCTGGTCAACTGCATGATTCTATCCGTCCGGCATCATCTGCACCAGCCAGGCAACTACCTGTAGGCAGATGCTGGAATGATGGGCACCGTCATTCTGATCATCATGATCATTCATGCTGGCAAAATCCATTTCTCCATGGGCAGTCTGGCACTTTCTCCAGTGCGTCATGATCACTCCTGTCATCCTCCTAGTACGCTACCCTAGCACAGGTATG